AGCATGACCCAACGCCAAACCCAGAGTGACCTGTCCTCTCTCCTCTGGCCCCAGGCAACTGGCCCTGAAGGCACTCAATGAGCGGCTGAAGAGAGTGGAGGACCAGTCCGTCTGGCCCAGCATGGATGATGATGAAGAGGAGTCTGGGGCCAAGGTAGACAGCCCCCTGCCCTCAGACAAAGCTCCTACACCCCCAGGGAAGGGGGCTGCCCCAGAATCCAGTCTAATCACCTTCGAGGCAGCTCCCTCGACGCTGTAACTCCAGACCACCTTGAGTGTGGCACCTCCCCTCCTGAGCCCCCCTTGACATCCTCTCAGCTACTCCAGGGCACCTGACTGCTCTGAGGAGAGGGAAGAAGGCCTGCTGGGGCTTTCTATGGCCTTCTGCTGTTTCTCGCCAACACTACCCAGGACTCTTGCTACCTGGTTCCAACTCCAGACAACCACTATGCCAGGCCTGGAGCCTCTGAGGCATCGGCCAGTCCAGGTCCTCATCTGAGGTAAGAATGTACATCAGCTGGCAGCCCCAAGCAAGTGGCTGCAGGGACACTGATGCCACAGCTCCTGGGCCGGCCCTCACATCTGACACTGGTTGCCGAGAGCCCTGAGCCAAGGCAAGGATTTGCCAAAAATGTTCTGGGGGCCCAGCAAATGCAGGAGCCGACCTGGGGCTGCACATCCCTGCCCATCCACAGAAAGACTGTTCCTGTCAGGATTTGTTTCCCTCTGCTGTGGCCGTGACTGCTTCTGGACCAGAACAGCTTCGGCTCCCAGGTATTTTCTACAGGACCACTTTGAGTGGGCAGCCAAGCCCAGGCTCGCAGTATCAATAAAGCAGTTCTCTGACGAATGACTCCTGGGCTCTTGTCAGGCCACCTTGTGCAGCCCCTTCATCACGTTCAACTGCAAAGTTAGACAGGGACTTGATTGTCTCCATGGTAACTCCACCTGGATAGAGAAGCCCATTGCCCAGCTCCCCACCACCGCCACCACCACATGCACACTGCCAAGTAACCTTCCAAGAGCTATTGCCTCAGACTCTTACTCCTTTTTTCTTTCCCTTCGAACCCCTATCTGGGAGGCCTTCTGTCCCTGCCTAGATCTGATAATAAGGGCCTCTCCATCATAAGGCGCTGTTCTTATCCATGGTTTACCTCTAAGACAGAATGTTCAGTGCTTGCCACCTCTAGAGACAACTCAGCCCCAGCTCCCATCCTGTTATTGTATGTATCTAACCCTCACAGTCTGGAGACTCCAGCACAGTGGACAGCCGGGGGACAGAAAGGACACACAGCTGTACCATTCACAGCTGCAGCTCTAGGGCCTGCCAGGGCCCAGAGTGGCCTCGGAGGCTCAGCAGCTAGATCCTGGGGATTTGTGTGCTGGGAGAGCTTCAGCCCCATAGGGAACAGCCAGGGATCGGAGGGGTCCCCATCTTGCCCAGCTGCCCATTTTCCCATGCTGATGGCATTAACAAGAACCATCCCCAACTCTGGGCTGCTTCTCTCATCAATCTTTTCAGTCATTTTTATAAAAATTTTTACTTTTTTCTCTCCTGAAATTTCTAGACATACAGTACAAGTATGAGCTGCCTTGCAGGGGAGACAGTCTTGCAGACCTAGCTTCATCCAGACACATGATGCATAAGTTCCTCTGGGATGATGGAGAGAGGGGAAGGAAATGGGAGGCACTCCAGCATGAGGAGCAGGAATTCACATATGGGCCTCCAAATGCCCAACTGTCCCAGTGCCTGAGGTGTCCCCTGACTCAGCTGAGAGAGTTCAAGAGGTCCCTAGCCCCAGCTCCTACAGGGAGGGGCAAATCCAGGCTTCCCCTAGGCTGGGAAGAGCTCATGGTTGGATCCTCTTGCGGTATAGGTAGGCATTGCTCACCTGGTTCATAATGACCAAGCTGGTGAGGACAGGGCATAGTGCAGCCAGGTACCAGACTGCACCAGTGACAGAAGCAGTGAACCAGAGTGAGCACATGCCCAGCAAGAGGCTGGCACTACCCAGCAGGTAGCCCACCAGCCCAGAAGTAGCATGGTATAGCTTGAGCTTCGCCAGGGGCCATCGGGGCAGCAGCTTGGGGTAGAGCAGCCCCACCCCACCTGAGCATTGTAGCCCTGCCCACAGCACAGCCAGCAGCCCTGCCTGCCCATGCCGCGTAGCCAGGTGGGCTTTGCCAAGCTGCTCTTTGTGGAGGATGACAAGGCCGAGGCCCAGCAGTGCACACAGCAGGGCCAGCAGCTGCAGCACCCAGTGGCAGCGTGCTCGGCCCTTCCGTGAGAGGGAGCGCAGCAGCGAACTCTCAGGAGAAAACACCAGTAGTGCCTCGGTCATCAGGAAGGAGAACTGAGGAGACAGGGGATGGGAAGCTCAAGTGAGGGTGCTGCCCCAGAAGAGGGGAAGAGGGCTTTATGTAACCCTCAGCTGCCAGTGAGTCCTGGGCTGATTCCCCTTTTTCTTTCTGTCCCCACTGACAAGACTATCCATTTGGTGGGGCAAGAGTGGAAAACCCCATCTGGGACGATATATGTGCCCTGAATAATCTCCACACTTCCTCCTAGGTGCCAGTCTGAAATGTCATCTGTGCTGTGTTACCAAGCAAACACAAGGTTTGAGATGTGGCAGTTATAAATGATTCACAAGCTTTGTTTCCCTAACGTGGGGCTGGATACAATTTCTTGGCAAAAGCTGGCCACACGGGTGCACTATTTCAGGGAAAGTTAGGTGCATCACCAGAAATTAAAAAGGGACAGAAGTACATCAAAATGCAATGTCTCAGCTTTCTACCTAGAGGTGGGTGAAGCCTCGTGCTTAGACAAACCTTACCCATTTGACCTGGGTTTTAATTACTCTGATTCAAGTCTTTTCTTTTTTTTTTTTGGAGATAGTCTCTGTCACCCAGGCTGGAGTGCAGTGGCATGATCTCAGCTCAATGCAATCTCCGCCTGCTGGGTTCAAGCGATTCTCCTGCCTCAGGCTCCTGAGTAACTGGGATTACAGGCATCTGCCACCACACCCAGCTAATTTTTTTTTTTTGTGGGGGGGTTGGTTTTTTGGTTTTTTTGAGATGGAGCCTCGCACTGTCGCCTAGGTTAGAGTGCAGTGGCGCAATCTTGGCTCACTGCAACTTCCATCTCCTGGGTTCATGTGATTCTCCTGCCTCTCCTCCCGAGCTGGGACTACAGGAGCGTGCCACCTCGCCCGGCTAATTTTTTGTATTTTTAGTAGAGACGGGGTTTCACCGTGTTAGCCAGGATGGTCTCGATCTCCTGACCTCAGGTGATGTGCCCGCCTCGGCCTCCCAAAGTGCTGGGATTACAGGCATGAGCCACCATGCCTGGCCTCAAGTCTCAGATATATACCATGGGCAGGAGTATTTGGAGCATGCAACTCTTCCAAACAAACATTAAATGTAGACAAAGATCCAGAGGCTGCCAGGGCCACCAACCATGCCCATGCTCCCACCCCTAAGAACTGCCCAGGTCCACTACTTACAGCCAGAGACATAAGCACCGGGTGCCAGGAGAACAGGCCTGGAATGAGAAGAGGAAGCCTCATGGGGCTGAGGCAAGAAGAAACCAGCCATACCAATCCTTAAGGGTTGAGGAATACCAGCGGCCCATCACCCAAGGAGGTGCTGCCAAACTGTGAGCCCCCTCTTGCTCTGCAACAAGCTGACCCCACACCTATCCTCTTCCTGGCCCCTTCCTGGATCAGAGGCCATGCTTTGCCACTCCTCTGGCAGTCCTCCCTCCTTCCCTTACACTTCCTGAGAACCTGCCAAAGGGAGCACCCAGACGAGGAAAGAGAAACCAGGAATTCTGTGTGCCCTGGCCACACCTACCTGCTCCACCCCACTCATCGCTCCGGCACCGAATTCCCTCAGCCAGCCAGGCCTGTTACCGGGAGTCCCACAGCCCTTCCTCCCCAGGAAAAGCGGCCCTTCCCTTCCCAGAAGTCAGCTATGAATTCTACTTACTGGAGCCAGGCCTGGCAAGCACAGCCACAAAGATGGTAAAGCCCAGGGCCACAAGGTGGGCGGCAGCTCCAGAAGCAGTACGCAGAGCTCGGTAGATGTGTGACTCGGTCTCCGCAGAAAGGGCCATGGTCAGCCGTGCCAGTGGTTGTAGCCTGAAAGCATAGTAGCGAGGGCCAGGGTCTCAGGTGCCCACTCTTCACTCCTCACTGGAGAAAAGGCTGCAAGGCAGGCATGCCACCCTCTTCCAATAAGTTATGATAGGAAAGAACAGTACCAAGACCAGCACCAGGAATGATCACAACATGCCAGTCGAGGGCCGGCGGCCTGTCAGCGTGTACTCATCTGAACTGGTACCAAACGCTGGCCCGCCTTCCAGGTAGGATGCGAAAAGCCATGTAAGACTACAAATCCCAGCGTGTACCACGCCGTCGCCGGCAGTAGAGACCGCTGGGAAGGCGCGGGGCACTATGGAAATTGTAGTTCCCTGCTGCGGTCCCAGTTACAGCGTGAATCCCTTAGCGCACCGCCTCCCCAAGTGCTGCGGGCATGCTGCCCCTCCACGCTAGGGACTTGCCTGCCTCAGCCGCAGCGCAGATCTGATGCGGTTGTTTCCTCCAAAGAAAGCGGGATACTCCGGGCCCTGCAGCGCGCACCTCCGCTCCGTCGCGGAGCCGCTTTACTTCCGGGTGCGACGTCTACGCACCCAAGACTTCCTGGGACGAGCCCCCCAGCAGCCACGCCTCTGAGTCGGGCTGCGCAGGCGCCGCTAGGCAGAGGGATTCGCGAGCCTGCGTGCCCCAGCGACACGGGCTTCGGGGCTGTCTGTGACAAGTGTTCACAGGAGGTGGGGACGCCCCTGCGCGACGAACGAGGAGCTACGGGCCTGGGCCTGGCTATTGCCATGGGCAGCGGCTGCCGCATCGAATGCATATTCTTCAGCGAGTTCCACCCCACGCTGGGACCCAAGATCACCTATCAGGTGCCACCCGGACTTGCGGGACTGGGCGGGGAGAGGGACGTTCTCGAGAGCTCAATCGGCTGCCTAAAGGCGGTAGTTTCCCGTGCTGTACGCAGGCATGCTACTTCATTCGCAGACAACTGTGAGGCTAGAGGATAGTCAGACCCAGGCCCCCCGGCTCCCAGTGTGACAGGGAAGACATACGTCACATTGACAGTGTTTGTAGGATATTGGGCTGTAAGGATCCGGTTGAGGGGTTCCAGGTCCCACAGAAGGTGAGGTGGGTGACCCATGAGTATCCCTGAACTGAGTGAAGAGTAAATGATGCATAGGAAGTTTAGATAAGGGAGGAGAAAGTGTTCCAGGTCGAGCAAATATGCAGAAGCCAGGAAGGAGGTGAGATCATAGCGTGTGTTTGGAAACAGAAAGAATAGGCCTGAGTGGGTGGGAGAGAGGGGAACGCTGGACAAGAGGACTTGGGCTTGGGAGGCATGAGGAGGTCACCATTTGTACTACACCGAGTACAGATGTCCACTGAGGGGCCCATTGCCACTCCCCTTCCCAGGTCCCTGAAGACTTCATCTCCCGAGAGCTGTTTGACACAGTCCAAGTGTACATCATCACCAAGCCAGAGCTGCAGAACAAGCTTATCACTGTGTGAGGCCCTAGCTCGGGGTGAGCGGTGGGCAGCAGGGGTTGTCCCAGGAGGAGGAAGGGACAGGCTTGGGGGCCTGACTCTGTTCCAATTATCTAGCACAGCCATGGAAAAGAAGCTGATCGGCTGTCCTGTGTGCATCGAACACAAGAAGTACAGCCGCAATGCCCTCCTCTTCAACCTGGGCTTCGTGTGTGATGCCCAGGCCAAGACCTGCGCCCTCGAGCCCATTGTTAAAAAGCTGGCTGGCTATCTGACCACACTAGAGGTCTGCAATGAGATGGGCTTGGGTTTACGGACAGTTGGGGAAGGTGTTCCCATGTCTCCTAAGTCCCCCAAACCTGAGACCCTGGCAACCAGCTCAGGACTCAGGGCAGCCAACCAGCCAGGGGTCCTGGGATGTGCCCACCATGCTGTCCATGCTCTATCTAGCTAGAGAGCAGCTTCGTGTCCACGGAGGAGAGCAAGCAGAAGTTGGTGCCCATCATGACCATCTTGCTGGAGGAGCTAAATGCCTCGGGCCGGTGCACTCTGCCCATTGGTATGGCCAGCCTCTGCAAGGACAGCAGAAGGGTAGAGGAGAGATGGGAAAGTGAGCCCAGCCAGTCAGGGAGAAGGACAAGACTCATGAACACATTGGTGGGCAGGAAATAGCCATGGGCTGAGGTGCCCATGTCCAGGGTCCAATGCATGATGGAGCTGGGACTGGGGATGGGGGGAAGCGGAGCTCTCCAGCTCTGCCCCTTGGGCAATTCCTTCCTCTTTGTGGGCCTCAGTTTCTCACTTCATAAAAAGAAAAAGATTAGCCCTACCCAGAGGCACCTGCTTGCCCCAAGGGATGCTGGGAGGCCTGGATGGTAATTGAGGGCCTCTTGGAAGAAGTGGCACTGAGGATATGGATGGGACCCCCTGCAGATGAGTCCAACACCATCCACTTGAAGGTGATTGAGCAGCGGCCAGACCCTCCGGTGGCCCAGGAGTATGATGTACCTGTCTTTACCAAAGACAAGGAGGATTTCTTCAACTCACAGTGGGACCTCACTACACAACAAGTATGCCATCCCTCCCTGGGTATCATCACCTGGGGCTGGCCACAGCGCTGGCCTCATCCTGTTCCTCTGACCTTGTCCTGCTCTGCCCAGATCCTGCCCTACATTGATGGGTTCCGCCACGTCCAGAAGATTTCAGCAGAGGCAGACGTGGAGCTCAACCTGGTGCGCATTGCTATCCAGAACCTGCTGTGAGTGGGCCTACAGTCATACCCGGTACAAGGTCACCAGCCAGGGAAGAGCTCAGGGGCCCTGGGTGTGAGGGTTGGGAAGGCATGGTCCTCAGAAGCTGAGCACAACTCTCTCTCTCAGGTACTATGGCGTTGTGACACTGGTGTCCATCCTCCAGGTAGGTGAGTTGGGTTTGGTTAAGTGGAGAGTGGACCATGTGACTGGACCAGACCAGGGCTGTGTCACCTTCCCAAGCCCCTCACTCAGGCCCCTATGCCTTCTGCTACCCTCTAGTACTCCAATGTATACTGCCCAACGCCCAAGGTCCAGGACCTGGTAGATGACAAGTCCCTGCAGGAGGCATGTCTATCCTACGTGACCAAGCAAGGTAGTGGTGGGCTCTGGGGGAAGCCATCTTGGGGAGGGCAGGGCCACATGGTGAACTGATCCCTGGCACCCACAGGGCACAAGAGGGCCAGTCTCCGGGATGTGTTCCAGCTATACTGCAGCCTGAGCCCTGGCACTACTGTGCGAGACCTCATTGGCCGCCACCCCCAGCAGCTGCAGCACGTTGATGAACGGTCAGAGGAGAATTCGCTGGGGCATTTGGGAGTTACCTGAGGAAAGCTAGACCCTTTATGTCTCTCAGGAGCCCTGGGTCATGGGGCACTGCCAATCCAAACAGGCTTCCTGGAGATGGTGGGCTACAAAGACAAAATTGAAGGGACACTACAGGAAAGGGTTCGCCTGCCTGAGAGAAGGCCTGGCCAGGGCGTCACCCCTCTGTCCTCTGATCCTCACCCTAGGAAGCTGATCCAGTTCGGGCTTATGAAGAACCTCATCAGGCGACTACAGAAGTATCCTGTGCGGGTGTCTCGGGAAGAGCAGAGCCACCCTGCCCGGCTTTATACAGGCTGCCACAGCTATGACGAGATCTGCTGCAAGACAGGTGGAGGCAGGCGGGCAGTCAGGGTGGGGTCAGGGTAGGGTGGCCAGGCCAAGGCCACCGACCTCTCCTCCACCACCCCACCCAGGCATGAGCTACCATGAGCTGGATGAGCGGCTTGAAAATGACCCCAACATTATCATCTGCTGGAAGTGAGGCTGGTGGTGGCTGGATGGACACATTGCTGTGGGTAGTCCCTCCTACCAGGAGGCTTGTCATACTGTCTAGAGCTTGACTCTTAGTTCTGTAAATAAAGACATCCATTTCAAACAGCCTTTATTGAGTGCTGCTTCTGGGCCAGCCACCGGAGACCCAGCGGTGAATGAAATAGCTACGAGCTGTGCTCTAGATCGCCATCTGGTGGGCAGGACCGACAATCGACAAGTAAAAGTGCCGGTTAATTACAAAAAAAAAAAAAATCGTCTGGTCGCGGTGACTCACCTGTAGCCCCAGTTACTCAGGAGGCTGAAGTGGGGGGATCACTTGAGGCCAGGAGTTGGAGGCTACATTTAGCTGTGATCCCATCACTGCACCCCAGCCTGGGTGATAGAGCAAGACCCCATCTCAATAATAATAATAAACCTAGAAAGAAACAGATGTAGCTGGGTGCTGTGGCTCATACCTATAATCCCAGCACTTCGGGAGGCTGAGACGGGTAGATCACCTGAGGTCAGATGGTCAAGAACAACCTGGCCAACATAGTGAAACCCCATCTCCACTAAAAAATATATAAAAAATTAGCCAGGTGTGGTGGTGCGCACCTGTAATCCCAGCTACTCAGGAAGCTGAGGCAAGAGAATCACTTGAACCTGGGAGGCAGAGGTTGCAGTGAGCCGAGATCATGCCACTGCACTCCAGCCTAGGTGACAGGAGACTCAATCTCAAAAAAAGGAACAGATGTGATCAAGAGTGAGTTGGGAGGTCGAGGCAGGTGGATCACGAGGTCAGGAGTTCAAGACCAGCCTGGCCAAGGTGGTGAAACCCTGTCTCTACTAAAAATACAAAAAACCGCGTGTGTGGTGGGTGCCTGTAATCCCAGCTACTTGGGAGGCTGAGGCAGAGAATGGCTTGAACCCAGGAGGTGAAAGTTGCAGTGAGTGAGACCACACCACTGCACTCCAGCCTGGGTGACAGACTGAGACTCTCAAAAAAAAAAAAAAAAAAAAAAAAGTGGGTTGGAGGCAGGGACTGCTCTGGATTAAACGGCCAAGAAAGGCCATACTGAGATGTAAACTGAGCCCTGAAGGAAGAGTATTCCAGGCAAAGTGCAAAACCCTGAGGCAAAACCTCTTTGGAATGTATGAGGTAGGTCCAGGGAAGAAAGGAGGAGAGGAAAGAATCCAAGTCCCGAGGTACAAGACAGGCAAGAAGTAGGTCTTGCAGAGCTGCTGGTAAGCAGCACCCGACCTAGCATTTTGAGGGCCAGAGGTAGTTGCAGAGCCCCTCTCATGTGAAGGAATGATGCCTATACACTTTTTTTTTTTTTTTTTTTTTTTTTTTTTTTTTGAGACAGAGTCTCCCTTTGTTGTCCAAGCTGGAGTGCAGTGGTGGAATCTTGCCTCACTGCAAACTCCGCCTCCTGTGCTCAAGCGATTCTCCTGCCTCAGTCTCCCGAGTAGCTGGGACAACTGGTGTGTGCTACCACACCTGTCTAATTTTTGTACTTTTTTTTTTTTTTTTGAGACGGAGTCTTGCTCTGTGGCCCAGGCTGGAGTGCAGTGGCCTGATCTCAGCTCACTGCAAGCTCCGCCTCCCGGGTTTACGCCATTCTCCTGCCTCAGCCTCCCAAGTAGCTGGGACTACAGGCGCCCGCCACCTCGCCCGGCTAGTTTTTTGTATTTTTTAGTAAAGACGGGGTTTCACCGTGTTAGCCAGGATGGTCTCGATCTCCTGACCTCGTGATCCGCCCGTCTCGGCCTCCCAAAGTGCTGGGATTACAGGCTTGAGCCATCGCGCCCGGCCTAATTTTTGTACTTTTAATAGAGACAGGGTTTCACCATGTTGCCCAGGCTGGTCTCAAACTCCTGACCTTAAGTGATCTGCCCGCCTCGGCCTCCCAAAGTGTTGAGATTACAGGCGTGAGCCACCGCGCCCGGCGTGATACACACTTTTAAGGCTCCGGGGCTGTCCGTGAGGATCAAGCGTGGAAGTAAGTCTACAGAAAAGGCTGCCGCAGTTAACCCACGACAGGTGATGACAGTCTGGACATAGGGAGGATGGAGAGAAGTCGTGCGCCCTGGCAGTATTTCAGGAGCCAACTAATGGAGCCGGGACGCGAGAAACAGAGGAATCAGGAAGCCATAAGGAGGAGGTGGAGCAGCGGGTGGGTCAAGATGCCGCAGCAGCAGCAGGAGGAGCTCGTGGGGTCGGGGTTACCCCCATCCCCGTGCAAGCCGACTTGGCGTCCGAGGGCAGAGTCCAGACCACAAGGAACTGGAGCTCAGGAGAGACTCGTGGTCCACATCGCGAGAAAGCTGTGGGAATCCAAATACTGTGGCGATTGGCAGCCCCGTAGGCGAGGCGGGCTGGAGACCCGCCCGGATTTAGGCCCGAGCCACCTCCAGGGGCGGAGCCCAGGCCGCACTGCGCAGGCGCGGCTAACCCGTTTCCATGGCTGCGAGAACTCACGCTCCCCAACCGTCCCACAACTGTCCTGTCCCAGACTTTGGCACCGTCGGGGTCCGTCGTCCCCGAGTGTGTCAGCATTCCCACCCCGGCTGCTGCCCAGGATCCGCCGGACCCCGGCCTCGATATGGGAGACCTGGAACTGCTGCTGCCCGGGGAAGCTGAAGTGCTGGTGCGGGGTCTGCGCAGCTTCCCGCTACGCGAGATGGGCTCCGAAGGGTGAGGCACCCGGGTCAGGCGGAGTCACGGAGTCATTGTCCCTGAGTGGGGGAGCTGGAGCCTGACATGGGGGGAGGGGCTGCCCAGTGTGGAGGGGCTCCCAAATGGGGGAGCAGAGTGTTCCGAGACAGGAATATAATTGTTCCTGAGCCCCCTGTGTCCCCTCAGGATCAGGTTAGGCTTCAATAGGATCCAGCCCCCATCCCCACTCCAAATGCACACACGTGGACCCACATGCACTTACACAACCCTCTGAGGCAGGTGGAACCAGCAGCACGAGAACCTGGAGAAGCTGAACATGCAAGCCATCCTCGATGCCACAATCAGCCAGGGCGAGCCCATTCAGGAGCTGCTGGTCACCCATGGGAAGGTACCCCGAGGTCACAGGCAGGGTTCCTGCCTTCCCCCATACCTCACCTACTCTAACCCTCAGGAGTCCCCTGTGTGCTTTTCCCCTCTGGCCTGGTACACCTGTCCTCCCTGAAGGGGAGAGAGGAATGTGTTACATGTTTCATTTTGTGTCGCTGTTGGACAGGACTCTGGCACACCAGGCTAGGTACAGGGCATGAGTTGATTAGGGAGAAAGCTGTAGGTCCTAAAACAGCTTAGGCTTCGAGGGGAAGGCCCAAATGCTAAAGGCATCTGTGAATTGACTGTAAGGCTGGGGAGGGGGTGGGGAGGGCAGGAGGGAGGGGAGATAACTTAACTGGAAGTAGAACTTTGGCATGGAAGGAGGCAGCCTTCCTAACATGAGAGGGGAAAGTTAGAAACCAATGAGATGGCTGGCTGGAACATGGACCAGGGAGTGTCACCAGCAGATGACCTGAGATATCAATTGACCAAAAAAAAAAAAAAAAAAAAAAAAAAAGCCAGGCATGGTGGCTCATGCCTGTAATCCTAGCACTTTGAGAGGCCAAGACAGGTGGATCACCTGGGGTCAGGAGTGCAAGGCCAGCCTGACCAACATGGTGAAACCCTGCCTCTACTAAAAATACAAAAATTTGCTGAGCATGGTGGTGCACACCTGTAATCCCAGCTACTCGGGAGGCTGAGGCAGGAGAATCGCTTGAACCTAGGAGACAGAGGTTACAGAGAGCCGAGATCGTGCCACTGCACTCCAGCCTTGGTGACAAGAGTGAAACTCTGTCTAAAAAAAAAAAAAGAGTTCCTTTGCAAGAGAAAGGTGGAACTCATACAAGGGGATAGGATAAGAAGAACAGGGCACTGTGAAGGGTCCTGAGTAAGAGTGAGGCCAAGGCACACAAGAGCCTTAGAGAACCACAGGACAGGGACAAGAGGGAGGGCATGAGCAGAAGGGCTGACTTGAAAGGGACGCCTGAATGGGCGGGGAGAGGATAAGGGGGCAGGTGCAGGCAGGGCAAGGCAGTCTGGGAACTGGGCAGGAGCCAGTCACATAAGCATGAGGGACATCCACAGAGGTGTTGGGAGCAGCTGGAAACGAAGGTCCGAAATGCAAGAGAAAAGTCAGGAAGGATAGCCATGGGGTTTGGGATAGTTTAGGGGCCCAGCAGTGTTTGGGGAGATCTGGGCTGAGCTGAGCCAAGCTGGGGATAGGAGGGTTGCCAGGCAAAGGTAGGCCCATCTCATCCCTGTCCTTTACCCCATCCTTCAAAGGTCCCAACGCTGGTGGAGGAGTTGATCGCAGTGGAGATGTGGAAGCAGAAGGTGTTCCCCGTGCTCTGCAGGGTGGAGGACTTCAAGCCCCAGAACACCTTTCCCATCTACATGGTGGTGAGCTGGGCCCCTGGTTCATACCTCCTCCCACTCCTTCAGAGGGCTCTGGACTGGGGAGGGGAGCTGGTAGCCCCTATCCCTACCACAGGCCCTGTCCCTCTCTTTGTCTGTCAGGTGCACCACGAGGCCTCCATCATCAACCTCTTGGAGACAGTGTTCTTCCACAAGGTGAGGGACTATCTCTGCCCATGGGCCACAGTTTCAGGTCAGGGCCTGGCAGGAAGGGAGGTTGTATCTGTGTGGGGAGGGCATCAGACACAGAAAGTTTCCCTCCCCCTTTCCCCAGGAGGTGTGTGAGTCAGCAGAAGACACTGTCTTGGACTTGGTAGACTATTGCCACCGCAAACTGACTCTGCTGGTGGCCCGGAGTGGCTGTGGTGGCCCCCCTGAAGGGGAGGGGTCCCAGGACAGCAACCCCATGCAGGTGGGTTGAGGTTACCTAGGATTGTGAAAGCCTAGGTCTGGGTTCCCCAAGGCCTGCACAGGCAAGGGTAGCCCAGCATGAACACTGTGTGACCTCGCAGGAGCTGCAGAAGCAGGCAGAGCTGATGGAATTTGAGATTGCACTGAAGGCCCTCTCAGTACTGCGCTACATCACAGACTGTGTGGACAGGTGGGCAGTCCGACTGGGCCTGGGCCTACCGTGGAGGGCTGGAAGACTGGGCCTGTAGCCTG